CTAATCACTGGCAAGTTTTCCTCGCTTATCAAACAAATCAGCAAATGAAATGAAAAGGTGCTATTAGTTGTATTTAACAAATGTCAGTTTGCATCTGTGCAAACCGATAAAGAGTGGCTCGATGATGTTCGAAATCGCAATCATCCACAACCTCCACAATGTCACTTATCATCCGAATACTTTTTTCGATTTCTTCTCGATTCCATGCTATTTCCAGTGTTATCAGTCTACCTGGATTCTTTCATATTTCAAATTCTGGATTTTAGCAAAAAATTCTAAAGTGACTGTAATTAATGTCTAAATAGTATCGGGAAATGTTTGTAGTAAAAGTTCAATTCAATTTGCCAAGATGAAAACTGAATAGTGGAAAATTTACGATTTTCTGAAAATTTTGAAAGGTTACGCTTTTGTTTATTTGGCAATAACTTATTGAATTTATTACCAAAATAATTATTTCAGTTGATGGTCTGCTTATTTCGTATGTTTGTTTTCTTATTCATCTGAAAGTGAATAATTTACCTGATAATTTGGCGTACTTCTTGCACATAAACGAAGGTTCAAGTTCTTTTTTTCGGATTGTCATATCTCTAGTTGTGATAAGCTCTGCACCTTGCGCTAATATCTCTTTCAGAAATTTCAATATGCGACCATTAAATGAAGTTAAAGTTTCACCATCGCGCTCCATACATAAGATGAGAATTTTCTATAATACCAGGAAATCAATGGAAGTCTTGAAAATTTTCAAAATTTTCTTCAGAATATTTTATTACGACTACCGAAGAAGGTCAATTTGTCTGACCTTGCCAGTGATTTTGTTCGGGACAGCATACAAGGGAAGAAATGATAATTCGGGGAAGAATGTAATATTTTTGACATTTCTAATCATATCCATTTTCTTAATGTTATCGTATTCCTGCAATAAATATAAAATAGTAGTAAAATGACAGATTCGTTGTTTTAAGAAGTATGAGTATGAGTCAGTATGGGAAACTTGTCAAAAATTTTTTTTGAAGATTTGTGAATATCTGAAAATCAATCAGCTAACGGAAAGTTTCAGATGAGAATCGGATTTACATTCTTTTAATGTCATCAAATTCAAAGCAGACAAAGGAAACAAAGGACTGTACTTGACCCACTGAACAATTTCGTGGTTCTCATTTTGGAACGACTAGGACAAAGAATAACTGCTGAACAGAATGTATTTCATATGTAAGTAAAGAAATACAGAATTAGCTGAGAACTTACTGTAATACAAATTTCAAAATTAGGAACATCATCTGGTGTGAAATCGTGTACATTATTCCAATTGTTAATGAACGGGCTTAGTGATGCTTTCATCATATGCTCTGAAAGTATAGAACCATTTATTTTGTACTTATTAAAATTTAAACTGGTTCTACTTGTGAACGTTTATCATGATTATCTCCCAGATTTATAATTTCCTGATTTGGCAAATTTAAATTTTATACTACACTGAAAAAAAGTGCTTCAAAAACAGAAAAAATGAAAAATGAACCTTCAACTTTGTCATAAGAAAGAGTAAGTGATCGGAATCTCATCAATTTACTTGATTCGATAATTGGTTTTGTTGTACAGAATAGGAATACATCAATATTAATGCAATCTCGACTTCGGAATTGCTGAGAAATGGTAAACACCGTAATATTTTTGCAATCTCGAATGAACACGCTAAAATTCTTGAACTGTAGAAAAACGTAGTAAAATATAGAGACTAAAGAGATTTCACATCTGTTCTTATAATGAAACGTATGGATTTACATGATGTTGTGAGTGACAAGCCTACACCTGTACGTTTAGAAAGTTTTTTATTTCCAGTATGTGTTGAATACCGTATGCATTCTCTTAGAAAATAATCAGGAATATTTGAAATATTTTCTAAATGAATTAATGAAAAGGTATTATATGAGGAAATGGCTAAGATATTACTTAACCTTCCTCTACAAGGACCAGTAACAATGAGGCATTCCTCGCAATCGTCAACATTCACTGTGGCCAAGTAATCAAGGAGCAGTATGCAACATTCCTGAAATGATTTCCTGTTATTCGATTCTATCAAACTTTTCTTTCTTTCAAAATAACTTTATTTTTATTATCATTATTCCTTTTATTGTCATTATCACCTAATTAGATTTTAATATGTAAAAATTGACTTTGCATTTTTCCACGGTAAATTGCTCGCCGGTAATATGGCCATCTGATTTAATAGCAATTTCACCATAAAGATTGACGAAACAATATTCCGCTGGATTGGGTTTTTCTTTATCCCTAAACTTTTCATTTTGATGGAATATTTAGCTTTTATATTTTGAAAATATATAAATTCTTTACAAAAAAAAAAAAAAAAACTACTGAAAAGAACCTATTTATACATAAATGAAAACAATCCTTCGGCAGTACAATGTCGACTAACAGATGCTAATTTAATTGATATCATAGTATAAAGTATTGAAATGTATGAATTGAAGTTTATAACAAAAACGTTACAGTATATATTAAAGCAAAATCATAGTTTTTAAGGATGTTGAAGAATTTATTAAATTTTTTCAGTGAAGGAATATTTAGGACTTGTGAACTTTGAAAGATTCTTCATTAAAATCATATGAGATATGAGATGAAACTCTGGATTTAATTTATCAGTTGAGCTGTAGAATTTCTTACTCATATTTAACAATATTGATAAAAAACAGAAAAAAAAATGCATTAAAAACTCGTACTGAATAACTACTAACTAATCAAAGACTTTAATTTGCAAACTGAAATTATATTTGTTGAAATTAAGTGAAGCAAGCCGTTATTTAATAAACAAATGAGAACATATGGATAGCGAGAAAAAAAAAGCTCCCCCATCTTAACTATCAACAATTTTATCATTTGAACACCAACGCAATGATCTTTTATTTAATGTAATCCATTTAATTTCTTTAAATTCATTTGGAAAAATTAAACTTTCGTTTACTTCCTTCCTTATAAACATAGGTTTTCAGACTTTTAATATAATCCAGCTTCTCAATTCATTAAACTGAACAATAATAATAGTGTATAGACTTGGCATGGCGTCTTAAATATATTGAATAGTGGATTACCTTAAATGTAAAAAATTTGGTGCAACAAAAAGAGAAAGAAAAAAATGCTAGTCGTACTTTGAAACATGCATTAAAATTATTGAGGCCTAAATTAGAATGCTTGCGGTATCATATTTATAAACACGACAATGTACCATGCACAATTGTGTTATGTCGTGACAATCTAATTACTATCTCTATCGGTTTCTTTTATTTACCGCTATTATCACATGGTGAACAACCATGGATTTTTTTTTCTGTTTGCTTCTTAAATTCAGAGATTGGAAGAAAAATGTGACAAACTCTAAATGGGAAGTACGATGACGATAGTGAAGATTTTATTCTGCTTAATGGTGACATAGTTACAACTGGGATAAACATGAAGATCTTTTGATCCTCTAAGATGCTATAGTATCATCTTAGAGCACTGCTAATTGATCATTTTCTTCATTTCTCTCTTCCACAATCATGACCATATTTTTAACCATACTCAATTTGCAAGCTATCATTTCGATCAATAATGATCGAACAGTGCGCTAGTAATTAACAATAAAACGGAATACCAGGAATATTTTCCGCAATCGCTATTCCTGATGTGGTATTGCTCTTCGCGCTTTGAACGTTTACTAATTGAGCAGCACGAACGTAACATCAGAAATGGCCAGTTAAGAAATGTAGGAGATGTTTCAGCAATAAAATTATTCGCTAAACTTTGGGAATATATTTGATGTCTGGTAAAATTTATTAATGTATGATGTAATCCGCAAATTAATAAGAATGAATTGCTGACGATACTGGCTACATTGTTTGTCACGAAGTCCAGAATCATAGAGCTACTTGAGGGGGAAAAGAAAAGCAGATGGTGTCAATTCGTAATTCGTTACCATGGTAATTATTCTGATGCTGTTCACCATTATATGCTTGTTTGTCAATTAAGGATAATACAATAAATTTTCTTTTCCAATTTACAGATTTTCAGCAAATTTTTATGTAAATTGATGATTAAAGATCAATCATTTGTATGCAAATTAATCCAAAGGGACATCCGAGCACCGTTACCCACTGATACATGAGTTTTGGAAGTATGCATGAAAATTCGACGGAATGGAAAAGAAAAGTACGTCCTTAATTCTCCAGATAAAAAATCAGACGATAGAGACGAAGCAAAAGTCATCAAAACCTATCACAACATTTTCCGCGAACGACTCCGAATCCCGCTCATTATCTTTAATAATTAAATTATATTGTTGTCATTTTCTTTTACTTCACGATTTGGATTCCGCTACCTTTTTTATGGACAATCCATGAAATCCACACAATGAATACCCTGAATGTGTCAATAGGTATTTTTCATTGACAACATAAAGACACCTTCCTAGATTTCAAAATGAACCGATTGTTATGAAAAGGAACCGAAATTACGGTAATAAACTACTGCTATAAATAAAAGTATGGGCCAGATTGATTTAAAGATAACCAACGAATTATTCTCAATATCTATAAGACCGTGCAAAAAAATACTAAAGGAAACAAAAGAATTACAATACTGTAACATAAGAATTTTTAATTTGATATAATCTAAGATTTTGGCTGCATTCCAAAAACAAAACTATCACTGACATAATAATATTGTAAACATCCTCTTAGCTTGGATTTTTTGACCACAATTAATTCACTTAAAGGTCATCAAATCTAACTAAAAAAAAAGAGAGAGAAATCAAAAATGCAATCACTATGTTCACATTGGTATAACTGCCAATGGTATGTTAAAGTACGACGGAACGACTTTTTACCGTTCAAATTAGATTTATACCATGCATAAACGAAAAACTTTTTATATATAAAAGAAGCCAAATCACGACGTGCAACACAAGTTTTCCTACTAACAGACATATTTTCTACATAAAGATATCTTCCTTACCTAGAGAAATTCTTGCTGGAGGACCTGTTGAGAGAAAAAACAATATTACAAAAATCGAGATGATCAATAAAATCACAAATGATAATATTGAAATAAGAAGGTTCATCGAAAGTGGTGATCCAAGAGATGGCTTCTTCTGTACATTTCAAAGCATATTTTCTTTCAAAAGTGGAAAATGGATGCACTAAGATATCAAACCAATTTACTGTTAAAATTGCTTGCGTTACAAAGAACACACTCCTAGGATCTTGTCTGTGTTCTCGTATCGTCCGATCAAGAAATTTGAATAATTTGTCATTTCGATTCACATTAGCATATGGACTAAGAATACAGTTAGAATCCCATATCCAGGATACACTTCGATGGGCTTTTGTTTCTGCTGCTGATATAGCTATCACTTGATAACCCAAATGCCACATACTAGCTAGGCTTATCTTTGTTATATCCTCTCCTCGTAAGCATAATTTTCGACCAAATATACTTTCCACCATTTCCAAAAATTTAATATACTCAATGCAGTTAAAATTATACAAATGGTTGAAATCAAGAATGACAATTTCTTTTGAATGATTATCCAAGAAATCATTTATAAATGAAAGAAGTTGTTCAATACAACTACCATAGAGAGCATGCAAAACACGTATTCTATATAATTTAGCAGGTAGTGGTACTGTGAGTCTAATATCAAAGTAACGTACACCGACATAAAGTTGTTTAACCACCGAATATCGCTGTGTTGTGGCCCACCGTCGGATAAAGCGTCGCACCATCCGAAATCGGCCAATTTCTCGGACAAATCGACTTTCATCATTCGCTACGGGATATTTATCAAACAGTAGTTGTGTGAACGAATCATGTGATCCTCAAAGTAGAAATAGCATATCTGCATTAGAAAAACAATCTTTATCAAATTCTCAAATAACAACTTGTTTTCTAATAGCTTATTCATCATACTGCCGATATAGAGATACTTCCAGTGTTCTAAGTAAGCGCGATAAAGTATGAAATAAATCTGAACCTCTAATTAGAATTCATCTAGTCAGATAATATTGACTACTGATGATGGTTATTTATGAATACTATAAATGACTAAAGGATAAACTACCAATGTTAAATCGTCGAAATTTTATGACACAAAAATAGTATCTTCCTATTAGTAAAGCAAAAACCTGGTATAGCAATGCAAACAAGAGGCCTCTCAGCAATTTCTTGAGGTAGATTACTCATCCAGTATTCACCGCTCCTATCGATTTTCGATGACTTCTTCATTTCTTATACAAAAACAAAGCGAACTGTCTCAACACATTCCTATTGAGAAAAACCAAAGAATACTATTGCTTTGGTAGTAACGACAGTCACAGTATAACAGATTCAACAGCAATAACATAATGGAATAATTCGTTAAAGAATTGACGTTAAAGAAATCTTGATAACGGCCTTCAATTTGTTACCCAGTCAGAATATCGGTTATTGTTTATTCAAGTGAATATTCCTTACTTATGGTCCTAGTTTATCAATACTTATTTTCACTTCTCATATTAACATCATTTGCTGGTAACTCAATTAGCTATCATTCTTACACAACTATCACTGCTACATGAGGAAAACTTGTAGAAATGAAATCACTGTCCGCATATCAGCTATGCTGTACGACTGTTTCGATTTATCAGGAATGCTATCCTACCGCTCTTTGACAAAAAAGCAATTATTGTCGGAATTTGCATAATTACATCCGCTTCTGCGACCACTCAACCAACCCACGCAGTAAGCAGAAATATGCTATTCACAGACCTTTTTTGCTATCGGTTGGCCTCTAGTGTTCAGTTGGTTAGCCATCCTGTTTGTTGTCGAAAGAGAAATGATTGTTGAGATGTGAAATTAATTGTAGTGATAGGGTAAATGAATGAAAGATAACTTCGTTAACTAATACCATGCTCATTTATTTTTAAAAAATCATGAAAATTCCATCCTATAATGTTTTTTTTTTTCTTTCTAGAGTGGAATGTGATGTTTGTAAGCTTAAGGCTGACAAAATCGTATTAGTTTTACGTTCTGTTGGTTAATTCACAAAATTTTCTTGTTTTTTGTTTTTTTTTAATGGAAAAATTGAGGCAAAAAGAATAGCGGGAGATATACGACGTAAAAAAGAGTTTTCATATTGCTAATTAATAACGCTGTCAGTATGCAGGAATTGACTTAATATCGTTGTAAAAACTATGTAGCAGTCAATGCTTACTTTCAGGAAATGGAAGGAGATTTCTTTATTACTGAATATATGAGCCGTGAGCGAGAAGAATTGAAATGTACGATAAAAAAGTTGTATTCAGATTTTATCGTTAATGAAATTACCCCCAGTGGAATCGTTCTTGGTAAGTATAGTTACGCTTCAGATTTATTCTGGTTTTTCGTTACTGTTTTATGGTCTACCAGTGATGTTTTATATATATATATATATATATATATATATAATTTTAACTGCCAACTCTCAATTCACATTTCATTACTTACATTATGTAATGTATTGCGCTTCTGTGTAATTAAGAAGTTTCTTGTGGACGAATGTATCATCACTAAGAAAGAGGAATTGCTGAAGAAGAATTAAGATTTTTTATGGTATTTTCTGCTTAAATAAAAACGATATAAGTAATCTCGCCAAAAAAATATCTGCATACCTTACAGGACTCCAGAGTTTTAAATGACTTCATTCAAAAATGCATCAACCTATTTCGAGAGATACGCAGGTTTTTCTTTTAGATATATCCTTGCCGGGCACAATGGAAACCGCCGTTGAAAGTAATGAAATACGGAATAGCTGGACAAACATAAATGACATCCGTGCTCCAGAAACAGTCACGCAGGAGCTGGTAGCGAAAATCGATTCTCTTCTCAACAATGGAATCAATGTTGTCGAAATACCAACTGAAGTTGATGCAAACATTGCTTTTAGTTTATTTATTATGTAGTCTACTTATTACGATGATCAGCGTGTAAATAGAATATATGTTCTCTTTTTGATGTCTTACTCATTCAGGGTATGGATAAACAAAAGCGTACCGTTATACATGATTGGATACGCAATCGATATAATGGCCTTTTAGATTCTCAAACAGTTACCAATGCAATTCAAGTTCTAGTATTGGATAAGGGATCCAGGTACTGTTTTAGTACTTGTCATGGAAACTTCTTTAGAAAACAGTGAAATAGATATGTTTTTTATTTTCGTAATTTTCTTTAGATTCGCTTCTGGGCAAAACGTTTTTAATTTCCAATATTACTTTTATTATAGAAAAAGAAGGATTTGGCCGGCAAATCGACCCGATTATGTTCATTTCACATTATGTAAAGAAAACAAAGATACACACTATGCACTTTCCGTGATTTCTAAATTCTTGGGGTAAGTTTTGTTTGTCCTACAACATTTTTGTTCATAATATGAATAGGTATCATCCAAATATATTTTAGGATTAAAAACTCTTCATTTGGTATTTGTGGTACAAAGGATCGTCGGGCTCTTACAACACAACGAGTGTCGTTGTATCGATGTGAAATTGAACGACTGAGAAAACTTAATGCTAAGCTACGCGGCATAAGGCTTACTGATTTTACTTCCAGTTCAAAACCATGCAAATTAGGTGATCTTTGGGGAAATAGATTCAAAATCATTTTAAGGTTAATCATTTCTTACAACCTTTCATGAATTTTTCTTTAATTTGCAATTAACTATTGGGACTGCTTTATGCATAGGGTAACATAGCTTACCTCTGTATGAAAAGTGCTCTGTACAGAATTATGCAGTTTTAGAGATGTTCATCCGTTCAGCGAAACTGATTTAATCAGCAGGATTGAAGATTTCAAGACAAATGGTTTCATCAATTATTTTGGAACTCAACGTTTTGGGTCATGCGCTTTTAATACTGCTGAAATCGGCATTGCAATTTTAAAGAGGCAATGGGAAGTTGCCTTAAAATCAATTTTGAAACCACGGAATACGTACGGTAGGAGTTTATTTCGTATGGACAGAGCCGTTGTTTTTATGAAACATTGCAGAAATGCTATGATATTTGTTTCAGCTAAAGTGCTTTATTTAATGATCTTCAGGAAGTATTAGAGATGCTTTAGACGAATGGAATAAGTCAGGGAGCGCTTCTGACGCTTTGAAAAAGCTCACAGGCAATCAGGTAGTATGATTAAGTGTTTGTTGTAGAAAACGTTTTTCTTTCAGTGTTTGGACGTTATTTTCATCAGGCTAAGAAAAATTTTTAATATTTCGTATAATGATTATCGAATTCTTATAACGTATACTCTTTATGTAATTCAAGGCATATGCTACCATCGAAGGTCAACTTTTATCATCTCTTAGCAAGAATCAATGCAATTATTATGATGCTATGTTAAAATTAGCTCGGAATACGCGCAGTCTTTATATTCATGCTTACCAAAGTTTGTTATGGAATAAGGTATCTGTTTATTCTTAATATCGTAGGTTAGTATAATCCTATTATTTTTATATCAGTATTTATTACTTTTACATCAGTTTTTGATTTCTCTCGAATATTACGCCAATGAGTTACAAGTATTCTTGGGATCCCATATGCATGTGTGTTCTTAGAATGTGATATGGGTGATGTGTTGAAAAATTATAATACTTTGAATTGTTTGAAGGTTGTTACTCGACGAGTGAAAAGCAGAGGATTTCATGCGATAGCTGGTGATTTAAATGTTGAAGGTAAAAAAATCAAAGATTTTGAAAACGAAGAGGTGGCTTTGCCTCTAATATCAACATCTGTTGAGCTGCCCGATAATGAAGGTTTCTTCCGATTTTCTTTTGTCTGAAATTTCATTTTATTTCGTTAGAAATTTATTGCTTTTATATTTGTGTGCTGCCAACAACTATGATTTCATCAGTCAGATTTCCGTGTTTTATTTAATAAAGAAGTAACATTCTGTATATTTAATGTAAATGAATGGAGGAATTAATAAATCAGTTTTAATTGCTAACTGATGTGCTTCCAAGTATTGTGAGTATTTTTACAGTTCGAAGTTGGTATGAGGAAATAATGGCTGAGGATGGCGTAACAGTCGCAATGTTCAAAGCTTTAGAAAAGCAAGTTTATAAGTTCCACTCTCGGATTATCATTTAAGTACCAGTAACTAATTTCATTTCAGTAATTATATTTTTTCCAGGGATTGGGCGATAGGCAATGTGATGCGACCTCTTATTAGCAAACCGCAGAGTGTGAAGTATAAAATGTTGACTTATGCCGAAGCCAAGACAAAGTTGCAGGCAGATTTTGAAGGAAATATAGATTCAGAAAGTATCGGAACTGGCAACTTCCATGGGGTGGCCTTGGAGTTTTCTTTGCCGTCTGGTTCTTATGCTACGGTCGCTTTACGAGAAATCACAAGGTTACTAGTTTTTGCTATTGAAAATTCATGCATATTCATTCCACTGTTGGAAATTCTGCGAATATTTCTTGTGTGTTATTCCGCTTTTAACTATCGTATAGTGTGGGTTGACGTAATCTGAGAAGTTGTTTCACATTTCAGTAAGTTGCATTTCTGTGCTGGAGCACTAGAAAATTTTGTTACAGCTACAATTAAATTGTTTGCAAAGAATTTATCGGGTAATAAAAGCAATATTTACATCAGTTACGAACTTTTTTGCAGGTGTGATATGAGTAAATTGGCGCAGATGTCCATGAATCAAGGTGAAAAGGATTTTACTGAATGTGTTTAGAACTTAACAAATGTTATGCATGAAAAACAAATTGACACCACTGATTTCTGAAGCACTGTTGTAACCATATGATAAAAATCGAGAAATTATTGCACTGATGACAAATAAAGCTTACATGCTTACAGCTCTATCTTTCTAGGCCCGTTGTCACTACCCAATAATGAATACTTTCTTAAATGTTCGTTTTCGATTTTGATTCATTATTTATTGTTCACATCGATATTTTATTTAGTAGTCATTTGCTCTGGGTGAAAATCACTAAATTTTTTTGAAAAAAACTATTTTTGAGCTATTGCAAAAACAAATCAAATTTGGATTCATATGTGTTCGCATTTGGGGTAATCATTTTAAATTGCTGTTTTTAATACTTATTGTATTAGCTCAGATATTGGATAATAATGAAATTGAGCGTTAAAAGTCCGAATGGCAGAATTGAAATCTTTAATGAAGTGGATAACTGGACTTTTGCGACATTGCGTCATCAAGTGATCGAGCGACTCAATTTGAAATGGTATGGAAATTTCTGTTTTTATTACATTCTGTGGTTTTATCAATTTTGGCTGATATTGCTTACTAGGAATGGGTCAGGTCGTGAAACTGACTTTGGATGTTTTATGCAACTAATTTGAATTTTTAGAGCCTAAATCTTTTATGTATGTCTTATGAAACACATAATCGCTCTACCATTAAGAGATAGTTGTACTGAATTTGGAAACTCCTGCTGATCTCTGTTTCTCATGATATAGTGGTTTCGATTCACTTAGATTTCTTATTTGTGACAGGTTTTAGCTTACTTGGTTTCCCAGGATGCGTTTGTTTTCAGCGATTTTTCATTATTTTTCGGTAACCGTCAATTGCCGACAGATGATACAAAGCTTTTTGAATCAGATATGGAATTCGTTAGTGGAGATCGCCTAAGAATGGTTATTAATGAAAATGGGTACGTCTTTGCATACTTTTCCTTTGTTCACATGAGACGAAAAATTCAGTGATTTGAAGAGATCTTGAATAAATTTTACAAGATATGTTGTTAACTAGTGTAAAACTGCTTTAGCTGTACCATGGCATTTCTAAGTAATAAGTTTGAATCCACTTAGGCATATTACCACATCAATAGTCTCGCTTTTATTCAGGCTTTCTTCTGCTGACAATGCCGGTGAGAACTCTTCGTCAAAAATTTCGACGACAAATGGAAGTAGCAGTTCGGATGTGAAAAAGAATGGAACTGTTTTCGAAATTGTGCTGGATGAAATGAAACAAGAAGGGTTTGAAGTAGGATTTTTTCACACTGGTTAGAATAACTAGTCTTGCTTGCTGAGATGAATTGCTACATATTCTTCTAGTATATGCTCTCTCTGTCTTTCTCTCCCTTTCCTCCACATCAAAATAAATGGTGCATACAAATATTTTTGTCATAATAGCGACTTATAATTCATCACTATTTGGTGCAAATGTGCAACAAATTGGCCTGCTGTGTGGATTACTAGAAACACCATTGTTTCTTTATGTTAATGTGAAGAATCAGGCGACCGGAATTACTGACAGCTAAGCAGTGGCAGATTAGACAAAACGATATTATGGAAAAAGAAAATGTGCAGCAGGAAGGGAGGGAAGAACGATGAAAAGAAATTATGGGGTCGACTTTCATTCATCCCTTGTCGGGAAGTATTTGAGTGATTAACTATGGTTATTCTTGGTGAACTATTTGAATTAGACAGTTTGAAATTATTTGAGCGGTTCTTTCTTTTTTTCTTTTCATTTAGATCGTGCAATTATAGGTTGCTCACAATTTTTGTGAAATTACGTAATTTATGCTAGGAAAAGTGAAAACGAATAAAAATATGTGTATTTCATCTATAGCTAACTCAGCTGAACTGGCACTTGCATAGTTGAAGTGGAATTTTCCTCTCCTTTTAACTGCAGTTTTCTGTCGAAATACAATTTGTAAGCTGTGGTTATAGCGTATTAAACATGAAGATGGTAATATGCGATGGACATTTCATCATCCAGATTCAGTTCTTGTTGTTGAGATCGATTTTCGTATTTATAATGATCGACTAGTGAAGTATGTTCACGCCACTGCTAGCATCTATCATCCCTCCGGTCGGCAGTTTCTAGAACCAATTGTTTTGGAGGAGAAAAGCGATGATTTAAAAAAGCAAGTTTTCGAGTGCCTCATTTCACCGCTGAAATTGGCATTATTTGGGCGTAAGTATTTTTGGTATCAGTACATTTACTAATACTTTAAAAATATCTTTAACTGACCAAGAGATTTTCTTTGTTTCTAATTGGATTCTAGAAGTACTTATTAACAATGGTTTTCACCTGCAATTCAAATGCCATATACTTACATAGTTTTTCAATTACATAGAAGCTCTTGCGAAAGTTAGAATAGTTCATATTTTCATTAGAATTGGCTGTTGTGTTTGATGCTCTATCCGTTACTTTTAACATTAAAAAAGACTTTTCCAGTGCGTGGAATATACGTTACAGCGTATTTATATATGATATGAACTGTCCTTAAAATATATCTTGATTGAAAACAGTTGATACCTTAATGACAAAATATAACGAACTTCAGATGAAAATCCATTTCTGCGTTTGCTGGGAGTTGGCGTAGTAGTTCAATATTTGTTCGAAATGTTGGATGCTAAAAGTATGTTGCGCTTAGAGAGAACAAACAAATATGTTCTCAAAGTGTGCAGAGGTCAAGGAATGGAAAGAATTTGGAAACTTTTCTGCGAAAGGGATTTTGGAAAAGGTAATTATTGTGCTTTTGAAATGATATTTCTTCACTCAGTTTGATTAAAAAAATCAAATCACTTAAGTTGATGTAAAATCCTACACTTTCTTTTCAAATACGAATTTTATTTAAGATGCTGGTGTATTAAAAAAAGAGTCATATCGCGAAGCATACAAAAGGCTGTACATCCGACATGTCCGAGAGCTTAATTTTTTGCGAAATCTGCTAGACCCTGATTCCCATTGTAATGTTCCTGTTCCTGCACCTTTTTCAAATCCAGTATACAGTCCAGGAAACCCTGATCCTGATATTCCTGAAGGCCCATTTCACCCTCTGTCTCGTAACCCATCCATTCGAACTCGAAATCCCTTCCCATTTCCTGGTCCGGGAAATCCTCTTGATCCCTTATATGGTCGAGAAATGTTTCCGAGCCGTCCCGTTAGACCAAGCGGTATTCCTAGAGTATTTCCACGTGGTCCTCGTTTTCCAGATCAAGGAAATATGTATCATGGTTATATATAGCATGCACTAATTATTTGGAGATGTTCCAGTGATCCCATGAACGGGTGTATTTACATTTGTTTCTTTCCAGTGCACCATGTTTATGTGCTGTTTATATACTGATTTAGCTAATAGCGACGTCTTAGTGATGGACAAGGAAGCTTTTATCATTCATGAATTTAATTTCCAGTATGACATGAGGATGTTATCAGTTGCCGAAATCTTATATGATATTGTTAACTGGTATAAAAAGATATATGATTGACTATTACACAGACGGATGAATGTTGAAAGTAAAGCAGCGAAAAACATATTTTAGGTGGTGAAAAACAGTGATAATGATTCGAGTTAAGGTGTTTTTGTTGTCATATTAATGAGTCATTTTAAGGCTGTTGGAGTTCACGTTAACGAAAGTTTTCAAAGAAAATAGTAGAAAAGAATAATAAGGTAGGTGAAGGAGGGTTATAAGATGGAGAAACGAACTTGGTTATAGTTGCAAATCAGGTGCTAACATGGAAATGGTATTTGCAACGGATAATGATGATAATTCATAGTGGAGTTAGCTGGTGTAACTTTGAATCGGTGTTTTCCTTTTATCCAGTTCAAGGTATAGAGCTAGTCTATATATTATATAGCTAAAATGCCGGAATTCCTCTTTATACACATTAGGAAAGAATCTTCGGTGGATATAGCCTTGAGTGAAGGAATAACTGACAAAAAAGTGAACGAACTTTCTCTGATTTCCAATTGACCTTAGTTGTCTCAGCAATCTTTTTTGCCTTCCCATCGCAATTAAAACGACAAGTCGTATATGTTTTAATTGTTGAATTCGATTTTTTGTGAGTTTTGTAAATTCATGAATTTCATCTTGCAATTGTTAATTGTTTGTTCGTTATAGTCATTATCATCTGGTGATTGCCATGCTATTGACATTTTTTCATAGTGAAGCTTCAAAAAAATTGTTAACTGAATAGTTGTAATCAGCAGTAAAAGAAAGCATTGGGATGGCGGTCATTTTAATCATAACATATCGCTCATATGATGATTATATATATATATATTTGCATAGGCTGGAACAAATCTGATAAAAAAATTCAAATGCCAGCTAATGTAGGTATGCTTTTAACGACTGAAGTTGTTGAAAAACGAGGAAAACAACTTAAAAAGAAAGTAAAAAGTATATCTGGTTACCAAGGAAATCAAGTCCATCTCAATGTCAGAGTTTCGATGAAGTGTGTAGATCGAAGGGAGAAGAAAAAGGCATACATATGCACAGTTGGTTTTGAAGTATCGTTTTATTAACTTGTAAAATATGATAAAAAAAAAGGAAATTTGCAATTTTAAATTCTTACCTCAATTGCTGGAGATTTTTTGTTTGCAATTTGCATGTTTCACTGCCGTTCAATGAATATTATCCTTCTCCTTTTGAGTAGTCAATAGAATCCATTAAGTTCATAAATTATCCAGATTACTTCTTGCCATCAAAACAGAAAAATGAAGTCTTCTATGAAACCGTCTTCTTAACAGATGTTATCAGTGCCTCATTCAATCTTATGAATACCAAAAGCTCTTTTCGATATTATACTTTTCTAACTCGTATTGAGAACACATTTTTATGCACTAGAAAGCATTATAATGTAGTGTGAAAATTTGTTATGAAATTGCATTGGCTTTTAGCATACATATAATTCCTTTATCATTATAATACATTCGTTCTGATAAACAAAATTATTCGCAATTTCCCAAACCACCAGATATCGCATCAACTTTTTTTTTTTCTATTTATTGCCTTTTGGGTTTTTTTTTCTCGAAATAATTCCAGCACTTCCCAAAACTTACGATGACAACTTCGCTTGCTTATAAGATGTTGTATTGAGAAAAGAGATTTTAAGCAATGTGAAAGGATAGTGAAAGACAAAAGAACTGGTTCTAAAATTCTTTAATCTTTCCAAATCTTATTTAAATACTCATCAATTCCTTCGTTCAAATATTTCAGAATTTCTGTTGTTGCTATCATCCATATTTTTATGCTTTGTATTGCGATATTATTGTATTATTCCATAAGACGTAAGACAAAATCTAGATAAGAAATTTTTCATGTGTGGAAATGTCACATGAATGAATATCTGTGCATGTAAATAGATAGCATTTGGATCACTTTAAGATGTATCATTTTTTCAATGTTCCAATATAGTACTGTACAAATTGCTGCTTAACCCACTGTAGAATTGTAATCAATATGAGAAAAAAGTAAAGTGTACATCTAAGAGAATTAATGGTGATTTACATGAAAAATTGACATAAAGTGAAATGATCAAGAAAATTAAATGTGATCAATTTCATTATTTTCCTATAAAATGCACAAATGGATTAAATCATTTCACAAAGTTCGACAAACAATTTTGAAATTAACATTACTTCAAAACTGACGTATCCGGCAATTCAAAAGCATTTCATTCATTTTTCTTCTTTTTTATTGCCTTTCTATTCACCGTTAAATGCTGCATAAATTCTCCTTCACTGTTTTCAAATATGATTAATTAGTACAAATAATCAGAAATAATTTCTCCCACAAAAATTCTTTTTCCTTTTCTTTGTACCATATTCTAACGCTTATACTAATCTATTCACTCCACTTTCTTCTCCAACTCCTCTACTCACTTGGTTTTAATTATTCACCCAGTTGACGCAAAGTGTGGTTTTTCTTGAAATTGTTTCATTTTTATTGATATCACAAGTGTGTATTTTTATATTTTATACCACTTTTTTTTTCGCTTCTGTTAGAAACATGCTCGAAGATAGTTAATATAAAGATTATATATGAGGTTGAATATTGTCAGATGATCACAGCGTTCCACTGATAAGGAATATCGGAGACTTCCACAGTTTTGTGAAGTCAAAAAAAGGACTTTCAATTTCTATAAATAAATGCAAAAATAAAAATTTTTGTTATGTATTGATGCTTTCATATTGAGACAGTTTTCATAGTATTATATATTCTGAGAAGAGAAGAGTTGAAGAGGCAAAATAAAATTTGACTTAAGATCATTTGTTATTTTATAAACTCTGCAAGACAACCCAAAGATTCGCTATGATAAACTGATACAATGTTCAGTAAATAATAAAACTGACAAGTGAATGTGGTTTCAGTATTAGCTGAAAAAATAAAATTCAGCTTTTTGAACATATCGGAATGAATTGATAGAATTACATAAATTATTTAGCGTGATATTATAAGCAAATTTTTTGAACTGCTTAGCAAAAACTATTTAAAGCTTTGTTATTGATAAAGCTCTTCTATCTTGCCAAAGCTTCAAAATTAATTCTTCATGTTCCAATTTAATCAACGTGTTCATTATCAATTCTTTCTCAGTAATTTTTCAATAAAATTATGGATATAATAAATATTTAATAACTGATTTCAACTCTTTCTTGATCATTGTTATTTCTGATGAAGTGTTTCTTAATTTTCTTCCAGATGTTTCGTATAACGATTTACTAAAGCTTTGTCGATTATTAAAGTTATTTTTAATTTTTTGGTTTGCTTAAGAATTGTGCAATTAAAAATAATACTGTTAAAGGTAATGATACTGTGTGACTTATGTAAAGTGAAACTGATTGAACGAACTGATTTAGACCATAATGGATTCAATAATGATGGACATATTTCCCGTCTTTTCTTCTTTTCATCAAATTTTTAATGATAATCTTTGATCAGTTGAGATAGTAAACAAAAAACTTCCCCACATTCATTGCTTACTGAATAGGAATTAATAACATAGAAATCTATAAAATGTTTTTAAACGTTCAGTAAAATATCAGCCTTTTGAGAAATATTCATTTGGCGATAATGATTGCTGAGTATTTTTATTTATTCGCTCTTTAGAACGAGTGGAAATTTGCTCCTTCCATTCTTTCTATTACTTGCACTGATTCATTCGATATGGCACATCAAATAGAAGCTTATGCAAAATTCATTTATGAGAAATGAAGAAAATCATTCCATCCTATTCTCTTTTGTGGATGGTTTAATAAAAAAATGAACCGTGATTAGATTTAATAAAAAAATGAACCGTGATTAGATCGTAAATTGCTGAGAAAGGTACCTTGAAGGACGAAGTGTGTACTTTGGGAGAGAATGTGACAAATGTTAATTTGATAAAAGAACAAACGTAAAACTTATAACTCATTTGAACAGTTGTTGCATGAAAAAAAAAAATACCTTCCCCTATATTAATTTCAAAAAGAGACGAATTTTTAGGTAGGATTACTGACTTTGTAAAAGATTCTTTCTGTCATTACGCAATTCTCTTACTCTTTTCTTTCACAGATAAGATCAGCTTCTTGCTAAATTTAAAAGTAAACAAGTCGCGTAACCGACTTATCATTAGCTCTTCCTTAAAGAAACCTTTGCCACTAATCGTCCGGAAAATGTGATTTTTTCAGTGCGAAAATAAAGATAGGATATATGAATAAGCATGTACAGATGGAAATAGATAGATGGACGAATGATAGATGCTAATGAATCTTTCAGTTACTTATACAGTCGGTGTAATACGAGAGAAGTGATTGTGGGTGAGATGGAACGTACTGACACGATATCCCAAGTAACTAGCAGCAGCGTATTGTTGTGTCTTCGCCGGTTGAATCGTGGTAGACGTACGAGTATAAATAGTGCACTGGTGCTTCAAATAATACCACAATAGCATCAGCGTACAGCCTATCATCAGCGCTGGTAAACTCATAAGCTCATTGAATTTTGATCTGAATGGAATCGTTCATTGTGTTGATTTAGCAGTTCATAAATGAAATTGTTTCATTGAAAAATTAAGTTTGTCCACTGAAAAATTATTTATATCACATTTATACTGCAAGCAATAATATTCTTATACACAAAACAAGAAAAATCGAACAAAAATGCATAATGACCTGCTATGTACTACGAAAAAAATTAAATTGTAAATGCATATTGTTGCTGCTGTTGCTGCTGCTGATACGTGATATTTAATTTTATTTTATTTGCTATTCTTGATTCTCCAATTTCGATTAGACCGTATTAAGTACTAATATTATGTTATCAACATACTCAACAATGACGCAGGTTTTTTTATATGATCTAATCAACAAAAAACATTAGATGATGATTTTTGACCTTTGAAGCCACTTTAAAGCGAAAGACGAAAGACATAAGATACTTGCGGAGTAAAAAAGTGTCACTCATCGTAAGCAAAAAGAGGGAGAGTAGAGAGCTTTTTTTTTTTTTTACCCATTATTCCAAAAATCCAGTTACACTAGTCGGAGTTAGTTTATGTACTGCTACTTATAGTTGAATGGGTTATGAAATATCGAAGTGCTCGGGAAATTCAGAATTAATTATTTGCATTCAGAGTGAGCATATTTACTGATCGACGGAATAAATGTCTCATTTATTCGTTTAGGATTATATTTGTGTTATCATCATCCAACTCATTTCTTCTTGCTGTTGTTTCTCTCTTTTATTTTTTAACAAATACGTAATTAATAACTCATCAGTGTAATATAAGATAATTAGTATCGCCGATTTCTCGTATATTGTGGAGATATAGTTTTGTGATATTTCAATCTCATTAGTATTAGTTTAATTCGTTGCAAGAATAAGCATAGTAACGGTGAAAACACGGGGCTTTCCCGATCAACAGCATTCATAGCAATAGCCCAACAGAAACAGATGGATAGATAGATAGATGTAACACCTTGTATATATAATGGAAAAAATAAACAGATTCGCACTGGTAGAGAGAAAACGAAGTAAGCCCTTAACTAATTGGAATTTGTCAAGTGGTAAGTGTTATGAGTTGCGGAATTATTGACAAGAATCGATTGATAATAGATAACAGTTGCGGGCTTATAGTATCAATTCTATCACTTCACTATTATGCTTGTTTTCAACTTTTGAGTTTCATAATTTTAATTCCAGAAAGGGCTGACAGTATAGAAGGGCTAAATCAATCACATGACCTTGCGTTGAAACCATCAGCAGAAGCATCATATTGAATTGGTGGGGTTGTGGAACGCTGACTGTCATTTTTGTTTGCTATTTGTTTTTCAATAATTCTTTCCGTATCTATTTGCGGAAAAGATAGCAAAAAAGCCCTTTGCCACCGCAAAACGAAAAAGATTGAACTTAATAGCAACCCAAAATGAACACAGGTTACTACCGGTATCAGGAAACCGGATATGAAAGGATTAAGAAGTGAAGAAGTAGGCAGTATATTCTTCTTCCCTTTTTTTTTTACGATATTGAATTTTATTAAACAGTGTTTAAAAAATTTAATAAAAAGCATCCAGCGCGCTCATGGTGCCTAAGAAATGAAATGGAATGGAAAAACTCGTTAAATCCGAAGAGCTTAATGAATCCGTTTGAATCTAAAGTAATTTATGTGTCCCTATTCTTTGAAATATTCTGACTTTTCAAAGTATGGGAAGCGTAAAGTTTCTGAGATGCTTTAATCATCCATACCATATAAAATGTCCAGAGCGCTCAGATTACCTTTTATATTTAAGGAGCCAAGCGGTTTGAAATGCGTCTAACATTCATAATGTTCAAAGCACTTGCAATAACCAAATAAGAAACCGGAAAAAGTATTTACATCATATTGATCGTCCCTTATTTTTGCAAACTATTGGAATATATTGTGAGAAAGTGAAATAAAAATTTACCATCGGAAGTATTAGAAAAAAAACCTCCGGTGTAAAGAAGTTGTTAACATATGCATACGTTGAAGTAAAACTGCAAAAACTGGTGCGGAAAAATTTGCTTAAGCGGAGTATGCATTTTTTGTAGGTAATTGAACCTTCAATGAAACAAAGTGCAAATAAATGAGAAATGGACATTCACCCTGCCAGTGTGAAACGAGTTTCCTGATGTGCGATGATTCTCCATCGACATCACCGGTTTCGAAATTAGATACGGAAGTGATCATCGTTGGTAATTTTTTTTTCTACAACTTGTTTTTCATGATTGGTTTTCCCTTTTCTTTTTGATGGCCTTGTATTAGTTCTAGATAATTAACCACAGAATAATTGATGAGTTTGGAGATTTTAAAGGCCTATCCAAGATAACTTTCTGTTAAAAAGCTTGATTGGATGCATCTTGTGTTTCCACTTAAAATTTTCATTTGTTATGAATTTTGGTGAAAGAACCATGGGAAGGATTGTGTTGAAGTTTTAACAAAATGACTTTAGTCGAGAGATTGAATAGTGGATGCGGATCTCTTGTGAATCAAAACAGGTTCGCTTTGGAAAAGCTTTAAAAAAAGTTCTGCAACCAATACTTGGTTAAAGTGAAACAAGTATTCGAATGAAGTATTCTAAACAAATATATCGAGTGAGTAATTTAACAATCTTCAGGAAACGGACCAGCCGGGTTATCATTGTCAGCCTTCCTTTCGGGTTGGTTACCTTTTTACTCTCCAAATGACGGCCCTCATCCTAATGATTTTATCCACCAGAAACTTATTGAACATGAAGAGGAATCATTACTCGATCAGGTTATTTTATGGAATACCCTTAAACTAAACTTATAAATATTTGAGTTATAATTTTAACATTGTTTAGTGTACGACTGAGCAAAAAATTCGTTTTGACCAGCACATCTAAATAATAGTTTACTTTAGGATTTTTCTTGGCTTGATAATAACATTAATATGATGAATCATGGAGCAAGACCGCTTTCATTGTTGTATGACACATTGGTGCGTCCTAATGCTGATACTGGAACTCTTGGCACATCGAAACTTTGTTGGATATACGATCGTAGCCGTGCTATTCCACATTTAATAGTTGCCCAAACACCAATTGGAGGATCTTGGAATAATTATGATGACGATGTGAATATTTTCTTTTAAGCGCAACTGAATGATTGGGAAAAGAAGATATAAAGAAAATAGTTCTAGTTTGAATAAAACTATTTTCATTTCAGATGTTATCGGTCAGTGTGAGCAGTTTCCTGGATCTTCCAGCTTTTCTTATTGCTGATTGGTATGGTGGAAATAAGTTTGATAGTCGGCTTCCAGTACCACTTTACCGAAAATATCTGTCCGATTACGCGAGAAGAGTATACAAAAATAAAAATATTATTTGTGGTTTGAAAGTGACGCACATAGAGGTGATGGTTTAAAGTATAGAGATGATATTGGTTCATGTGATATGTTGTCGACATTTTAACCGCTCAATCCGACGACGTGTTGTGTCGTACGTCAACTATTGGAGCAGCAACATTAACTATTGTCAGTGATCAAACCAGTTGATAACATAATTCTAAATGACTAATTTGTAATTCGGAAAAAAGCAGCTAGACTCTTAATTTTTAGAAATGTTCAAATAGCTGCATGGAGGGATTTTGGGAAGTTCGTGGCACGAAAAATGGTGAACCGGTGTTGCTGAGATGTAAGAAAGTTGTATTAGCATGTGGCAAAAATCAGGATCGATTACTTGGCGTAAATTTTGTTTTACTTAATGAAATACTTAGTGAAAGGAGAGGTGGAAGAAGATCGTATTGTTAATTATGTTTATAGAATGAATTGAAATAGTCCAAAAAATGATTTCTATCATCATGTTTGCTAATACCAAAGGAAGTCGAATGCGACTAAACTGTATGTTACGAAGATGGGTTATCCTTTGTAACTGAAGCAGGAAACAATCATAAAAGTCTGAAACTTTCATTTTCAGGTGAAAGGAGAGGTGGAAGAAGATCGTATTGTTTACAATCTTCGGGATTTAAAACGACTACTTATTTCATTGACTACAGCCAAGTTTTCAAAAAGGAAAGTTGTTGTAGTTGGAGATGGGATTAGCGCTGCGGATACAATATTACATTGTCTCAATTCATGCATTCCTGTGCTTCATGTAATTCGTCGATCGGATAAGCAACTACGATGTAAGTTTTCGAAATAAAATTATTATTAAAATTTGGTATATTGTAAATATTGTGAGCTTTTGTGAGTCTGTAAATGAATCTGATTAAATAATTGTCTCTTAAGATTATTTTTGAAGAGTCATATCTAAATTAATCTTTGAAGATGGCCATATATTTTCATCCTTAAACATTGAAATGACACCATGAAACAACTTTATTACTGGAGTCGTATGTTTTAGTCATACAGTTATCACGCCTTAGTCCATCTCTGTATCCAGAGTATTCAAGAGTTTTCAAATTAATGATGGGATATTGCGAAAATTATTATTATACCAAAGTTACTTGCGCTACCATTGAATCGTTGAATAAAGGCACAGTTCGCATCAAAACTCTTCAAGGAATTTTTACGGTAAACTTTTTGATGTGGAAACTTCGAAATCTGTTGTACACGGCACTTAATGTATGAAAAACAGAAAAAAAACATGCATCACTTCGTTGAAATGTAGAATGAAACTTTGTCATCAATGATGTACTGTCAAGGAAGTCATTGTTTCTTCCGCAGAAGATTTGATTTTGAACAGAATTTTATTTTTCAGGAACATTTCCGAGCTTTGTGCGTGTGTGCTGGTAAACAGTCAGACCTGAGCATGTTAACGGACAAATATACATTTCAAGATTATTGTTGCAATGAAGACCCATCGCTCTTTCGTATTGGTTCACTTGCGGGCGACCACTTTGTGCGATATCTTGTTGGTAAGATATATACATATATGAAAAAGTAAATCAGATTGTGAAGTTTCATTTTGTTGTTCTCATAAGAGTTACCAGAAAATTTTCAATGACTGTAATATTTTCTTTACCAGTTCTAAAGTAACAAATATTCTGTGAAAAAAGAAAAAGTTGCAGGGGGTGCAATGGATGCTGCTCGGTATCTGATGTAATCTTGATCACGTTCACTTTATTCAGTCAATTATTGATCAGCTGGTATTAGCGACTAGCGAAAAATGCTTAAAATAAAAATAATTTAATTTTTATGAAGAAGCAAAACGATATCGTTTTATTAAGCTGAAGAAATCTTGATTCTGATTAAAGAAAGTGAGAAATGAAAGAGAATAACTAAGTGGAAATATAGTCACTTTTTAGATGCAGAATTAGGTGAAATAGTGATTCTTTCGCATGAAGGAATTTCGCTATGATAAATTCAAAATTTCCAGCCGTTAAGTATAACAGTTGTTGTAACAACTCATAGTATACGCAATTCACCAAAATTATTATGCAGACACTTTTTATATATTTCGAAATAAAAGAAATGTGTATGTTATTTTTTATTTTATTTATTCATGCCGCTGAGGTCAAAGTGTAATATGAACGACGAACATAATGTTATTATTTGTTCATCGTTCTTATTTCACTGAACGACAAAACGGACAAATGGAAGTGTTGATTTTTCAACCTTTTCGACTTTCTTAGATATCAGTTCAAATATTTGTAGCTTTTAGATAGTCAGTTATGTGTCAAAATATGTAATAATAAAAAACGTGAATTAATTTAAAGTTCTCATTAATATTATTTTATGTTGTTTAAATCTGAATGAAAGAGTGGTTGATAACGTAGTAATTCTGGATAATGAGGCTGTTTCCTTCTGCCTTCTTCACAAGGCTGTAGCCAGTAAAAACGTAGCGCTCTGAAGATTAGTTTGTTGAGGAAAATTTTTTAATAAGTATTATTGTCATAACTCCATCACATCGGCATTTCCGTCACCGTTCTTTTATGATATCGTACAATACTAGGAAAGAAATGAGTGAAGTGAATATTAAATTAAACCAGTAGTCTACTAAATGCCTGCTAAGTTGTCATATTTTCTTTTCATCACTGTTATTGTTACTTTGCACCACCATTGCTGAAGCAAACTGAGTGAGCGATCGATGACACCAACCTAATCGAAACTTGCAACATCCAAAAATGGTTTTAATTCCTTACATAACTGGCGTTGGCTTACAACAGAACACAGGTTAACGAGTAAAGAGCTATCATCGAAATTGCAGGTAGACTGGTTTATAACAAAGAGTTCATTGAACAAAGAACTTGCAATCTCTTGAAGAGTCGAATGCAACTTTGCTTGTTACACTGGCGGATCTTAACAGTAACATATTAAGCAATGCACATATTCTTTGTTACAGAAGGTAACATTCTAGACAGTTTACATAAGCTTAACTACAACTGAAAAAAAGTTTTATATTTATCTAAGGAATATTCAAATAACACAGTCTTTAATTTATAGCTAGGTTTCCTGACACATACAGGTGATTACGTTTTGCGGCTTTGCATAATTAGTCATGAAACTATTCTGGCGGATACATTCATTTGTAAGGTTATCAGAGATGAATACCTTTTAAGATTTAATATTGCTGTTCTAAGTGAAAACACAATTTTTAAATAGGACATCTAAAAGTAGATGTATTCTTTGTTAACAGAATATAACATTCTAGACAGTTTATATGACGCATGTAAGCTCACTCGGTTACAGTTGGAAGATAAATGTTGGAAAAATAATTCCTCACCTCAGATGTAAAATTAATTCTCTTATATTTGTGTAAGGAATATTTAAGTAAGACAACTTTTATGTTCTACAAATTTCTATCTTATGAACTTATTTCGACATATTACAAATCTCGGTTTTCCGACATAGGTAATTCATAATCTTTTTAGTTTAATATAGTTTTCAAACTATATATATATTTCTTTATAATACTACAACTTATGATTTGTTAGGTTTCGACAGTTCCAAAATTTATTGAAATGAAAATTTAGTGACTAGGTTCCATTGATTTCAATATGATTACCTTTGCTTTCATTATATTTCTTGGTACTTCACTTTTATACATGTTATCTAACCAGTAAAGTAGTAATACAGTTCAAGAATATGTGACATGTACTGCTTTCTTCTTGACAAAGACACTACAGTAATTTAAAATTTTTGATCTTCTTTCCTAAGGAGATTTTAAAGTATGGAACTTTCCTCAAATGTTCTTTATCATTTATTCTTCTCTACTAACGGCCGGAATTTGATTCAAAACTGGTATGCATGTACATAGGAAAATATTGCATTACAGTATTATTGGACTAATAAAATCCTTTGTAGTTAAGTCTTTTTAAAGTTCTTACATCGACTGGAAAGAAATAATAAAATTGTTCAAAAGTTTGACATACAGAGCAGAAATTGCTTTGGACGAAAATTAATATCGCCATCCTAAGATCCCATTGCTAATTGGTTTTTAAAAGTTATTTCTGTAAGCCTGTTGAATAATTTTGGAGCAGATAGGTTAGTGGAATGTAAAGTTTTCTTCACAGATAGTTCAGATCTGTGAATTCCAAAATTGCTGTAACATTTACTGCCGCAATTATAAAAAAAGTGGAAAAATTCTATGATGTGTGCATATCGAATGATTGTACCTGACTAACACCAATTACGCAGTCATTCATTAATGAATATGCTAGAAATACTGATGGTTACCTACCCGATTACTCATCTGATACCATGTTATGTACATTTTACCAAAAACTTCAAAATTTAAGCAAATCTTTTAAGAATTCCCCATAATTTTTGCTATTCAGGGTTAAGATCAATATAATCTGTGCGAAGAAAGTAAATAGAGATGTTACACAAAGTTTCACATAATTTCTTAAATTTCAGAGTGTATGGTGTGATCTATTATCCATTTCATAGAAATTTGTAGAAATTATTCATTGCTTTCTTTCATTGACAAATTTCGTCATTTTGTTACTCGTTTTTCCGATGAATAATTCGACATATACGAGAAGGGAAATTCTAAGGCACTAAAACACAAATTATATAATATGATACCTTAAAAAAATTAGAACGGAATCGTACTGCATCCTACACCACAGAAAAAATCACCCTATCATTCACTATAGTGAGTCTTATAAAAGGCACTGAGAAATTGACATTCTGTAAATTATGATTCACAAAAAAGAAGGTCATGTCATAATAACTAACCTTTATTATTGAATACAGAAATATTAAAAGTTATATTTAACAGCAGTAAAGGAAGCGAAAGATTGGCATCTGTTTCCTATAATGTCAACAGTTCTTTTAGATCGTAGATTTCTTTTCTGTTACCAATTTTATAGAAAGAATTATTGAAAATTCTTTGTTTTTAACAAATATAGAAAGAATTATTGAAAAACAAATAGCAAACAAAAATGACAGTCAGCGTTCCACAACCCCACCAATTCAATATGATGCTTCTGCTGATGGTTTCAACGCAAGGTCATGTGATTGATTTAGCCCTTCTATACTGTCAGCCCTTTCTGGAATTAAAATTATGAAACTCAAAAGTTGAAAACAAGCATAATAGTGAAGTGATAGAATTGATACTATAAGTCCGCAACTGTTATCTATTATCAATCGATTCTTGTCAATGAAAACCCAATATCAGTATTACTTTTAGCAACTCATCACACCTATCCATAGTTCGAAAAATCTCACTCACTTGTATCTGAGTATCGTTCATTGCATGTCTATTTTTCATTCCATCTAAATTAAATATCATTTATGTCTGTGAATCATGGAAATTTTTAATTTTCCTTGAAAATCATTTCAAAAAAGTTGAGAGAAAATCATGCAAAAAGTATTGTTGTTGTTAACGGTGTGAGCCGTTAGTTATATAGTTACACACTGATCCAATCAAAACTTGAAGTTTCATCATCGATAGAGGCATCAAAAGAAGAAGAAGAGTGGTGAATGCTGCCTGCCAGAATTGTTGAAAGGAGATGGGACAATTTGAGGACAGACGAATAAACTTTTTCCTGTTGTCCCACGTTGTTGTAGGTTGTAACGGTAGGGTAGTGCTATCGGCATCTTATCTGTACTATTCATACGCGTTAAGCGTCTAAATGTCTATCAACAGAAGGTCCAATATTTTGTTGCTGTATAAAATCATATAATTTAATTCCTTCCTATCATTTTTTGATTTAAAGGGTAATATGATTTATCATTGCATTTCCAATAGATTGATATACAAAAAACTCTGAACATAATTTTGCTTTCAAAAAAAAAGTTTGGAATAGTTATATTATTTTTTTCTTTCTTTCAAAGAAAAAATTCAACAAATTAGAAGTCAACTGAACCGATCGATTTCCTAAAGGGTACTTATTTGTGTTATTTATTGGAAGAGAAAGAGAAAGTACTTCAAATATAATGTAACTATTCCAAATTTTTCTCTTTTATACTAACTACAAATCTTATTTTTGTACAAAAATTTTCTTTCCCAAATTACTTTTTTAATTCATCTTTCTTCATTTCTACAATACTACTTTTTTATGTCCCTTTTTCTGACAATCATCTAAGCTAATTTTTGTTACATTTGGCTTTTTTCAACAATTGTAATGTGACAGAAGGATGACTCAACACTTCGCTTGTAAAATATTCATTTTGTTTTTTGTTTTTTGTCTCTCCGACAATAACCCAAGAAACAGTTTCATTCTTTCCTTTTTTCGCAATCACATTTTAGTAAAATAACGGGAAAATATTTTGCTCTTTTGCTTGCTAGTTGCGTGAATGAAATTTAAATTTGAATGAATTAATAAGAAATTGATAAGTTTCTGAAACATATATATATGGCGTTATGATGAAAAGAATATTAAAAGAATTTAGCTATACGCAAAGAATTATGGCTTAGATTCATGATTGCAGAAATTGTTACTGAAGTATAACTTTACAATCAACGAGAACAGAATTGGATGCTATCGTATGAAAGTGCTATGACATTTTTATCAATGAGATTGGATAATAATTATTATTAACAGCCTAATTAGCTAATTGATATAAATTTCTTCATTAACTACTTCTACATCTCTATTAGATGCAAAATCCACAGTGCAATCTAATGTCCAATAGTTTTGATCTAATCTTTAATGGAACATTTCTGAATTAATTAGAAACAATGTTTGTTTTAGTTTTATCATTAAAAAATGAAAAAATTTGTTAACTTCCAGCAAATTCTCTCATCTTTTAGTATTTATCTAATTTAATGATTTTTTGATGATATTTGAAACGATCAGCGAAATGCCTTGCAAAAAGATGTCAAATTAAAATGTTCTCCTTTATAATAGAAAAGATGCAGTTGCTACTTCAACGACATGCGATTTGTGTAACGATATTTGTATGCCCCATCCTAATAATACGATGCGAAAATAGCGATGAGTATAAAGAGGTATCCAATAGGCGACTTACCGATCAGATTGCCGAGAAAGCCAAGCAAACTGTCGTTGACATCGGTGAAGTGATGAAATCTCAACAATCTGTCTTGGAATGTGACGGCAAAAAGTTTGCTCATTTCTCTTTTTCTTCTTCACTTTTTTTAATTTGAAATTCGACTACAACTAGTAGCACATAACTTAAGCTTAATGTTGATATTGTGTTTTAAATGATTGTTGTCGATTGTTCGTTTTCAAAATTAAAAATGAGAAATATTTACTTGAGGATCATAGACACATTTATCTAGATTAAATGATTAGAAGTTGGAAATCTAAATTATTTAACTAAATTAGTGAGTAACACAAATATTTGTAATCGGCAAGGATTTTATGTGGAAAATTTTGATTTTAAACCATTTTATCATCATTTTCGTGTTAAACTACTCTTTAATTTTAATTAAGATTTTCTAAATTATAGATGTCCAAATAACAATATTTTCGTTTTTTATCAATGCTGTGAAAATGTTCCCAAAGAATGTTGCTGGCATATTCGATATTGGCTTACGTAAGCATTCAGATTTCTGAATTAGAAATATTCTGAAAATCTGAGATTCCTTCTATTCAATTACAACAATTCTCCTATACTATACAAAGAACTCATTTTCAGCATTGTATTAATACTGATATTACTCAAAATGCTTTGGTCTGGCTTGGTATGGTGCATACGGCGATTGTGTCACGATTGAAAAAGTGGAGAGATAATTTTATTTCATAGTTTTGTTAACAATTGATAATTGACAAAAATAACAACATAATCATTCACTTGAAATATGATGTTGTATCATGTCTACGTTCATTTCTTAATTAATGTGAAATTTCCACTGAATTAACCTTTGAATTTAATTCATAACACTTGCTAAAATGTTAACAATTTCTCTCGATATTGTATTCTAAATCTTTTATTAAAAATATTTTGAGAAAAAATATTGTCTGAATAGAAATGAAGTTCAACGAAAGTTAACATGTTATTTTTAAATCATAGTCTATGTCCGTTATCATTACACATTTCAAAATATCTTTTTCTACCTGTTGATAGTAAATTGAAGCTGCTGATCAAAATTACCTTGACAACTTTGTATAAGATCAGTAGCACAGTACGGTCGGTACTCATGTTAAATTCTCTTATAATGCGAAATATTGCGATTTGCCATTATTGTGATCAGAATTTGAATAAGTACTGTATTTTTGCACAGTTTTTTATTGAAATACTAAAATAATTATTTTGCCAATGAATGTTTTATCATATTTTTTGCAAAACAAAAATTTGAAGGAATTTTGAGATGTATTGAAAATTTTGAATGTAAAAATTCTGAATGCCTTTGAGTTATTTGGAAAGTTGCACACTTATTTTGGAAATTTTGACAAAAACGAATTTGTGTATACGACATATTTGTATGATAAAGTTAATCATAAGACACACATGAACGAAAGTTTCAACAATTTCAAGAAATTATGCAGGCAGATATCAATGTAGGGAGTAGTATTTATAAGAAATCAATGAGAATATTTGGCTCCAAACGAATGATTCTTAGAACGTTTATTCATTAGTAATTTAAAGTAGTAAAACGTTATTAAGTTATGTGCAATACTTGAAATATTATTATTCTAGCAGAAATTATTTTAATTATATCCAGAGTACTTCATAATATTTCAACAAAAGAAATAAAGAAAATCTCTTGGACTTTTAAATAAAATTTTCATAAAGTTGTACATAATTTCATTCTTTTTTCTGATATTAATTGGAACTTTATGTCAACGCTGTAAATTGTGACAAATTTGAAAGAAGAACCGGATACATAAAGAATGTAAGAGGAGATATGATCAACTATCGCTATCCAAGTGATACTTTTTATCTTCAGCAGGAATTTATTGATGTATATCAAATGTTGCATCAACAAATTTTACTAATTTCACAATGCTTTTATCGTCAACAAATCATCTAATTTGCTATTTCTCTTTCCTGCACGTCATTTTTATGATAATTACAGCACGACAAATTCACATTATTATACGTGATAACGTGACACAAGCTTGTCCTAGCCGTAAGTCAGCTTTCCAAAAATCTTTGCTTACCAAAATAGCTAAATTCTTGTTGTGCTATTATGTAGCTGAAAAAATCCTCAATATGTTTCGTAAGTTCCTTTTTTCAGTCATGGCTTAATCTTTATTTTTCACCTAAAATTCATTTTACAGTTCTCAAAAATCTATTATGAAAAATGAAATGAACTAAGCAGAATCGCTTGAAAACAGCTAACGATAAGGCTTATTGCTTCTAGAACATTTTGAATTAATTGATCGAAAGTCCGATATCACAATACTGAAAATAGAATAACGCATTATTAAAAGATATTTATAATAGAAGATCATGGTCCTAAGATTTCAAATTTGAATGTGATGAAACTCATTTGCTTCCAGAGCATTCTGAATTAATTGATCGAAAAACAATAAGTGTTCAGTTCGAGTTGATGCCATTGGCAGGTGATGCAGACCAGTTATTAATTACAGGACAAAATGGAAATAGACAAACAATCACATTTCCAGGGTATGTATTTTCACTATGACTGCGTTTAATATTTGTTGAATCACTTAGGCAGTATACAAATTCTTAAAAATTTACAGATGTTTTCGTGCACGGTTGAATTTCCAACTAAAGAAACTAATCAACAATCCATATATTGAATCTTTCATACAGTTTGGGACAAATATACCATGTAAGGTGGAGGAGGATGAAGTCACTAGTAATGTCAAACGCATTTGCACGAATATTACGGAAAAAAATTGGTGTCCTCAAAGTGATAATCAAAAATTGAGATCAATGCTTAATGGGAAAAGTACATGGTAACATGATAACATCTAGATTGTTTATTTTCTACTGAAATTCTAAGTTTTTATAACTTTTTTCATTAATAATTCATATATGTTTTGGGAAGTATTTCTATTTGCAGCAGATTTTGTAATTTATGTCAGCCGCTGAAATCATTTGACAAAGACTTAGAAAGTTACATTCAAAGTGAAGGACCTGATCACTGTAATTCTACGTCGCTCTATAAAACTTTCATTCTTAAGGTACCGTTCTACCTGTCTTTCCTGCAAGAAATTAGTTAAGGTACTGTTCTACCTGTCTTTCCTACAATGATCCAAGAGTATTAGCCATATGGTCGAGCAAGCATAGCAAATTCAGATATTTCATAGATTTGTACGCCATCATCACAACAATTACGAGAAAAAAACCTTCATTACAATGGAAGATCAGAAGAATATTGGAATTATTTAAAGCAGGTTTGCTTTCCATTCAAAGTGATTGCTAATTTGTTGCTTCTAAAATCCAAACTAGAGATAAATTGGGAAACAAGGTAACAATAGGTTACAACCCACAAGTCTGATATTTCTTGCAAGCTCTACGTTTACTGTTCACATCTCTTTTCATCCAGGTATCCATAGCCTTTCATCATTAGAAATGGGATTTAGAATGAATTACCACAACATGATTTACCTCAAAATTACCGATTCAACTGAATTCCGTTTAGGGTGTTTTAACTGCAGTGGTTCATATCATGGATCGACCACACGTAAGAGCAACTAGCCTACGACAATGTCAACGTTTATGCAGGACCTACGAAAACTATCCAACTATTTCTGAATCATACCGCGCAACGCTACACCAAACTATCGAAGAACTTTGTGTTCCAGCAGATTCATATGTTGCTTGCATTTATCACACCCTAAGATTCGATGTTATCAACAGCTAATTTTTTTTTAAAGCAGCATCCCAAGTTTATCCATTCACATCGCCTATACTCAGTTTCCGAATCTAATCCAATGTTTGCAACATTAGAGCACCTATTTTATCGTACTAAATCACATCTCAGTTTGTTGCTCTGTACATTGAAGATTTTGGATTGCTGAATATGGATGTGTCATTAGTTTGTTTGTTTGAAATATAATATATATAACAAAATTTTTCAGAAATAAATTCTCTCTCATTTGAAATGTACAGTACCAATTACACGTAAAACACAAGTCCGAGGTATTATAAACATTTTTGAATAGCTAAAAAAATAACTTAATAATTGGTCATTCAAAGTTCTGTCCCACTTAATTCTAAAACCCACAATTATTGAAAAGTATCACATTGAAACTTCTTTCGAATTCCGTCGCTTCCACAAAAAATTTCAAGAAGCTTATCGAATCCATTACTACTTATAACTACAGGTTTAAGTAAACAAATTTAAATGATGAAAAAATCTATTAAGAAAACTAGAACTACCGTAATCATAACATTCTAAAATTCATCAAAAGAACCAAGATATTCACAGGCATCATCAAAAGAGGTAGTAATAATTTCATCAGTAGTTATCAATCTAGCAATAACCATATGCCTTTTCTTATCTCTTGCTTCCAACACTGCGATATTCCCACGAAATTGGCCATTCACAATCATCAACTTTGTGCCTATTGCTTTTGGTATAACTGTTTCCAGCCAATGTTCACTGATTTCTAAAAACGCACGGACATTAAGATTTGCTAATAAAAAAATATAGAATGAAATCGAACAATCTGTGGTTAATAGCATCTCTAAAATAACTTACGGAAATATTTATTTCCAGAAGAGTCCTCCACAGTGCAGTTCTCACGGTTGGCTGCATCGAGAATTCGGACCTTTTCATTATAGAGCTTTCCATTCTGAAATTATATGAATCTTCAAATACCTTCACGAATCCACTATCAAACGTATTAAAAGTACATAGGTTGCTTGTGGGTTTTATACTGGATTTTGGTAAATTACTAATTCAAACAGTAACTCAATCAGCCATGAAATAATAAAAAGCAGTTCTTTCAGAAACACTTCAAAAAACATGATACCTTGAACCTCTTATCGATGAACCGCACTTTGAGTTCTGGTCGTGCCCACATATCTTTTATATTTGGTTTGATAACAATTTCTGATTTCTGTTTCTTGTAATCCCTTTCCTGCGATATTTTCACTTCATTATCCACCATTCCGATTTTACCATTTGAATGCTTGCCATTGTCATGAGAAGCTTTAAAACATATACCATAACTATTTTGAAAATTTCACAAATAAAGGACATAAAACAAACAACATGAAGACTAGCATCACTTCCACTTAAATTGGTATGTAATGAATACTATGTGCAGTAAACAAAATATTGAAACTGTGAAGTTCTCCAAATTTGCTTTATTAGGATATCGATTATGGACTTATTATCTCTACTACTAACATCGATTTCAAAAACTATTATCCCTATACCAACTTCAGACTTATATACAACCACCAAACCCTTCGATGCTAGTTCAATCTTGAAGCAATGCTAAGCATTGTAGGGGTGTTATAAACTTGGCCAAATACATAATCATGTGTAATGCAGTCAGCAGACTTTCCCCATAAATAAACCGACTTTCCTGGTGAATAATGTCTGACTTTTCTAGCTGAATAGACAATATAATAATGAGAAGTTCCATCCATCAGATTCACGAAAAAATGGGGGATATAAAATGAAAAGTTTATTAAGACTCACCAACTAACTCCTAACTACCTTTAGGTTTAAAGACTAAATCGAAATAATTACTATTCTTGCCTTTTCGTTCATACTCTTCATCAGTGACCAAAATAACAGCATAGTGACTAACACGAACGTTTTTTCCACACAGAGCAAGCCGAACAATAACGCTTGCGTTATCTTCATCGAAACTCTCAATTTTTCCATATAAATCCCTTTAAGAAATTTCACAAATTATTTAAAAGAGAGAGAGAGAGAGAAAAAAAAAAAAAGGAATAGAAATATTACAAAATAAAATTACACTACATACGAGGCAAATATAAATTTTTTTTTATAGATCTAATCAGCTTTTTTCTATAAAGTGCTATCATTACCTATATATTCCCCCAGTAATTTTCACAAGTGATGCTTTCTTCAAGCAGTCCAATTTTCCTGCATCTGAATTCAAACTATTAATGGGTTTTGACATGATGGCAGCACCTAATCCAAGTCCTTTCGGCCTCCTGGTTGAAATTCGTAAAGGCACTACCCTGAAAATTAAAAAACATTAATTGCGATACCTCAAACAAGAAAGCATGATAACAATGGGAGGTATTACTAGTTGTAAAATTCCAGCACAATTTTATTCTTTGGAATCATATTACCAATAACTAAAAAGATCACTTACAATCTTTAACAATCACTGACTTAATAGAACAAACTCTCGAAATATACAAACTTTAAGACAAAATTATATAAAACTGAGCAGAGTCCATATTCTAGTTCATGAATATAACGTTACAAACTTACTTCTTGTTTGTTTTACCAATTCCTTCACCTTCTCGCCAACCGCAACCTCTCAGTATTGCAAGACCAAATACATCTATTGGTACTGAATCATAATCAGCACCCACATCACTAACTTCACCATCAACTTTATTTCCATTCTGCAAAACCAGTCATAGAAAAAACATGAGGATTATTCAAGAAAGATGCTAGCTGCATACAATATAATTAAAAAACTGAAGTTTAAAACAATGCGGAGATATGAATAAGCTAAAAGCTAATTACCTTCTGAGTTAATAACGAAGCAGACTCAACAAGTAGTTCCAGCTTCGCTAGCTCTTCCTCCTTTAATTTACCCTCACTTTTCATCTGTAACAGGCGCTCAAGTCTCCAATCTTTCTGCATTGCCATTGGTATAACTAAACTACTTTCTGACTTATGTGTTCCTCCTGATCTGAAAATAATGGGCTTTGTAAAGAAAAATAAACATGTTATTATTTCTACCCTAGAAATCCTAAAAGTGAATGGTACCATACTAGCACTTTCAACTTACTCCTTAACTGGCTCAAATGATAACTCGAATCTAATATATTTATGCAATTTAAATCAATTATGAAAGATAAACTAATCACAAGAACGGTATTCACCTGTAATCCTTAAAATGTAACAATGCTACAAAAACAAAATATATCCTAAAAGTGAATGGTCTTTAACTGATTTAAGTTACTCTTTAACTGATTTAAATGACAACACCAATTCACGCAATTTAAACATGAACTGATTTGGAAAATGGTATTGAACATATTGATATACTGAAATAAAAATTAACATACTCAATCATTTGTCCATTTTTAACAAATGTAAGCCGCTGACGTTTACTTTCATTTATTCCATCTTCTGCATCATCGTCATTTCCAAAATTTTCAGTTCGCAGAACATTATTGTTCGATACCGATGCTACATTCCTTTTAAGAGTTGATATCGTGAATCTCACGTCTGGTGATTTTTTACATAACATATCTTTAGAAACGTCCGATATATCAAATGAACAGGAATATTCAGATGCAAATGCCATTTATACAGTGGGCACTAAAAATAACAATTACCAATGATATAACAATGATAATTTCGAGATTAAACAAAATGAAAATCAGAGAAAGAAGACGCTGAATTCGCAATTTGGAAAGTTATGAAGGCACGTTTTCAAATAACATATGTGAACTTCCAACACATCCCAAGTGTAAGAAGTGTCACGACCACGATAAACTGCCTCTCAAATCGAGAACACGTTCATTTCTATAGTTATTACTAAAAATTAGACGACAGCGAGACACCAAACACATCTAATCTCAAATTCAGAGAAGTTCACTGTCTTCTCCGGAATATCCCGAAAATCCGATCGCTCCTATTTAATCCACTGAATTCACACGGAAACTCACATACTGGTTTATCGTAAAAATTGGTTCGTTGTATCGTCTCACTGATTTTGGGGTATTCTGATGAGGAAGCAATGTGAAAATTTCTGTGTGTCATCACAATGAATACTTTCATGAGAGATTCATGGTGACTGAGCTTCGCTTATGTTTCATGTTTTTAGTTACATTTTGGACGGAGGGAAGTATTCAGGCATATTTCTTTGCTGCCCAATCTTTGGCCTAGCGAACTTCTTTATTGTACAGTCCTTTAAGTTGGTGGATTCCTTTGCTTCATAGATTAGCCTATTGGAACAATGACAGACAGAGAAAAAGAGCCAACAAATAGCGAACGAGAATCGATATTTCGATTTCATTACGCCAGAGAGGCTATTGGTTCGGAAAGCTTTGAGAAATTTGGCAGCACAGGAGAGTAGAAACTGATTAATTACGTTTTTATATCTGTCTCATGTTGTATTGCTAGAATTGCTGATTGCATAAGGAACAATAATCGTAGCAGCTGTAGGCTTTTATGGTCCCATTGTTACTGAAATGAAAGCAAAGACATTCGCTTCAGTTATCAATTTTAGGCATAATATTGTTGTATTTCATCGATAAGTATGTTGATCTCAGCAGATCATTCCGATAAAATTTGGTTTGTAGTAGACCGATTGGTGTTTTACGGGTTACGGATGATGGGTTTAATTTCCATCGTAATTTTTCGCTTTGATAGGCTTGATAGTTTTGCGTCTCCTGACTGTCAAGTTTAATTTCAGGTTTGTACTTCTTTTATGTGGTGCTCGGTTAAGTGGGGAAAGACATAATGTCGTAATAGTTGGTATTTAGTACATTTTTGAAATATTTTTGTTCACATAAATGGATGTTTAATGGTGATTGAAAATGTGGAAAGCCATGATGCTTTTTATCCAGCAACTTCCTTCGTTTGTATCTTCTTCCCTCCACTGTTCGCAAGTAGCGCAAAAGCACCTGCTTCCCTCATAACTCCGATGTCAGCTTCGGATTACTAATTTTAAATCCCACAGGTCAGCCTGCTACCGATCTGATCTTTATAGACCAAAACTTGGATGTTGCTCAGCGACATTCCCCGTTGTCCCTGTTCCCTCCAAATCAGATTTTTTTGTAGATATCAGAATGCTCTATCTAAATAAAACTTTGATTTTATTAGAATAACAGTTTTTTATCATGTATCGTAGAAATTTGTTTATTGTATTTGGAATATTTTACCTCTTAATAATTAAAATGATTTGAATAAGTTTTCAGAGATCTAGATTACTGATCCATAAGCGGCAGGTTCCAGAACAGTCTGCAAAATGCCGAAGAATAAGGGAAAAGGTGGTAAAAATCGCCGGAGAGGTAAAAATGAGAATGACATAATGAAAAGAGAATTAATATATAAAGAACCAGGACAAGGTTTGTTTTCCTTAGTAGTATGTAACATTCGCTTTATGTTTGTGTTTTTTTTTTTTTTTATTTAAGCGCTTTATGTTTGTGTTTTATAAAAAAAAAATTAGAAATTAAACTTCTTGTAGAGCTTTTAATTGTTGTATAAAATTAGTGCTGTATTTCATAATTCTTTTAGTAGGTAACTGCAAAAGAAATCACTGAAACTTGTTTTAATTTAAAACACTGGTTATTTAGTATGAAGAATTCACTTTGTAATTGATTTTATATATCAGCTTTAACTAGCTGCTGGAACCATTAATTTGAAAGCAGGTACTTATGAAAGGACAGCATTGAAGTTTTTCAGATCTGCTAATTTTAGGCTAATCGCAGACATCATTAAATTTTGTAGAATATGCGCAAGTAATTAAAATGTTGGGTAACGGTCGGCTGAATGCAAATTGCTTCGATGGTAAACCGCGACTATGTCATATTAGAGGAAAATTACGTAAAAAAGTATGGATTAACACTGGCGATATTATACTGATTGGTCTTAGAGATTATCAGGATGATAAGGTAATTTGTTTACAGATTTTCTAGTTAGTGTTACATGTTGATAAATAAGTATAATCTTGCATATCCTTCATTTTCCCTCTCCCCTTGTTAGTTTGGAACACATGAATTTTCATCAATATGTATACTTATTATAGGCTGATGTTATTTTAAAATACAATCCCGATGAAGCGAGGAATTTAAAAGCATGTGGGCAGTTACCCGAAAATGCGAAATTGAATGAAGGCGGTGATGATCTTGATGAGGGTGGAGTTGAATTCGGTGCGTTCCTTCCTTACCTTGGTAAGATTGTTTAACAGTCTTATTCCTATTGTTTTTTTTTTTTTTTTTTCATTCCAGCTGATACGGGTGCACTGTCAGACGAAGATAATGAAGGTTCTGGTAATGAGGATCTTCCATCAATTGGATCTGATTCCGATGAAGATGAAGACGATGAAGAGGAAGAAAGCGAAGACAGTGATGATGATAGAATAACAGAAGAGAGATTGGCTAGAAGTTATGTTAAGCCAGGAGCAAGAGATCGTCCCCAAAAAAAGAATAAATGGTAATGAAAATAGCTCATTATCAGTTGCGCATATTTTGCTACGTTCTGGTTTTCTAGATCACTTTTTCCCACCATACTGACTTTATACTCGAAGTTTATAATTTTATAACTCGGATTGTAGTTGCACCATCTTTGAATATTTTGTACTGCTGTGAATTCAATTTGTATCCGTCTGCTACTTTTATATATTTCTACTTTCATATCTTGAAATTTTCTTCATTCTTGATATCTTGTAAGAGAAATGTGATAATTGTTTGATTTTATTTATGACTTACTATTAATTTATTTTCCTGATTCGATGAGTCTCTTTCTTTTCAGTCTTGCGTTTTGGAGGGAGACTTCAAAGTTCTAAGCTCTACAAGAGTATAAATTAGATTTGGGCTATTTAACGGCGAACTAAGATTTGCCTATTATTTCTAACTTTCTTAGTGCACGTCTTATTCGCGTGGAAAAAGGAATCCCTAGCACGTGGCGATTGAGGTACTTCGTACTATTCTTGTTTTCATGAATTTTCAAGGACTTTTTAAATGTTGACTCACAGAGCAGTAACACCAGTATTTCTGACATTGTGTCGCTATGACTAATTTTTCAAGTTCTATTGATAAACTTTTTTTCGTACGTTTTGTGTACAAAAATTAGTGGTGTGGTAGAAAGTAATCTATCGGGTAAGACAAACCTAAAATCTGTAGGAACTACTGCAAACAGTAGAGGAATCGAAATAATAGTAATGAACTATTCTGTATAAGTTACTGGCACAGTAGTTAACACCGGTTTAATTGTAAGACAGTCAAAAGTTCACTAAAAGCTAACATCTAAATTCTTAGAATTAGGTCACGCTTTTAGTTTTTAAAGCGTACGTTTTTATCCATATGATGCGATATTGAGCAAATAGGACTAGCTCTATATTGTTACTTCTTAGAAAAAGAAGTTGCTCCATGTATCTTATATGTTTCCTATTGCCTCAAACACTGCAACATGAAATTTTCTATAAGTTTTCTAATCACATATTCATCATCTAATGCAATTCATTTTACAATAATGAAAAAACTGTTGCTAAGGCTACTTTCACGTAGCTTAATAGGAATTGTTTAATGATGCTACCTACACACTATATTTCTCCAATTGTTCGTTTACTATGAAATTCAAGAAAATTTCTGTTTAACGATCTCTACAGTTTTACCAAAATTTATTTGTTCCAACTTAGTAAGTTTAGCATCAGTAATAATTAGATAATAGGATCGATATAAGGGTTCAAGCGAACAGCTGAACTGAGGAAGTATTGCTAGAAAATTTTTGCATCATTTATATTCCCATTCACAAAACAGTTGTTGCTTTTAAAATTATTTTAAAAAAAAGAAAGAAAAACGCTGGGATAGCATACTGTGAGTGAAAAATTGATCTGGGCTAAACCATGAGTCTGCTTGCTTCAGTATTTTTTCTTTCTTTTCATATTGAGATAAAAAGTCATAAATAGCTTAATAATCCCTGCACAATATGTTAATGTAGTGGTAAGAAATTTCCACATTGGGAAAAAAAAAATTTACAACTTTTCCACCATTTTAACCGTTCGGAAAGTGAAAGAAATGGAACAATGTCCATCGTATCAGTTGTGTTTCCACAAATTCTCCCCTTCATAACAAATGGCTATTCCTTTGTTTTTCTTCCAAAAATCAGTTCGCTAAAATAAAATGCTACCAGACAAAATTCAGATATTTCTAATTGTCAGTTTTCGTAAACTCGTACCAAGGATAACATACAGGTGCATTTCATTTATTTTTGAATATCATTGATACAGATTTCTTCACTTGTTTTTGCATTTTTTTAAAATTCTCATCAATATAATAATTGCAATTATTTTGCTTACTTAATAATTAATCCTCATTATTAAAATTTCATTTTTGAAATTTTCTTACGCAAATTATTTGATCTTCATCTTAAAATATCACATTTTTGCTAGACTGCACATTTCGTACCACTCAAATCCCTTGAAATACTTTGCATTCTCATGCAATCAAAAAATTTTTAAACCATTTGTTTGTTGACTGATAATTTTTGTGATAAAATTTATAATTGTGGTAAAAATTATAAGAATTTCTTTGAAATGGTCTAACTCATTATGAGTCCCTCAGTCATACTATCAGTATTGTTGAACTATTGTTATTTTGATACTGCAAGGAAGTATTCAAGTTGAGTGTTGTAGGGAACAATAACTCAGTAATTCATAAAGTTGATAATCACTGTTTTTCATGTATTCGATGACAAAAGTTGGTTTATGTTTTTGATCATTTCGCCAAATATTTCTCCATAATGATCAAATTTTCCATTTTTTCATTATATAGCCCCTGTGAAAATTACAGACAAGAATATTTGTTGAAAGTCGGTAGGATAAGTAGGAGAACAGAATTATTTCGCCTTAGTCTGTAAGATATGCGACAGTTCTAAACAGATTCATCCTTGCAGTTTTTCTTTTTACTGCTTTCTTTTGACATTTTCATTTACTTCTTTGCTTTCATTCTAGACTTCTTTTAACTTTTTTTTCTTTTTTTGAAACTGAGATAAAGGAAAGTAACTTTTAGCATCAAGCACAACCGTCATATAAAACGTCAACCAAAATATGACAAGAAAGTGCTGTGAAACAGTTTTAAAAAGAGCAATATGAGAGGAAAGCCATGCATGTCATATTTTTTCGTCATCTTAATCTCCTTTACTGCCATATTCTTAGCACTACTATGGCTTTTTGCACTAAGTCATCAGCGACAGGAGCGTGAACATTTGTTCCGGAATAACAGTCAACAGCTGGAATAATTGATTTTCGGTTAGCCATGTAAGCATTTAAGCTTTTGTTTTGGCATTACTTTTTTGTTCTTTTTATTGTCAGAAATAGATCGAAATGTGAACAAAGTTGGAAGAATGTGGAACAGAATTGGCTCTATCATTAGAAGTGTTTAATATCTTCTCGACGATCCATTTGGTCTAACACTGGATTTTCAATCAAATTCATATTTCTTTAACGGAAAAACTTTGCATAGTTAATGTTTAAAGTGTCGAACAGAAAATTACTAGCGGTGCAAAATGGATAAGCTTTCTGATTTATCATATTTTATATTTATGATATTAATCGACCAGCAAATTAATTCAGAAAATATCGGCCATTCTCTTCTTACCGTTGTATTCCATCTCTTTATAACTGTGCATAGCATTTTGAAGGCATAATATTCTGGCATAATTTTTGTCATCTGTTATTAACAGTTAACATTAATGCGGGTTATGTATATTGGTTATATATTGCTGATAGTAGAGTTGATGCAAAGCTTCGTTTCATAATAGTCTAAAATATTTCTGAATTTAAAATTAATAAATTTGAAAATATATTCTCTGTTTTTAGCGTTTAATCTCATAATTTCTACTTTCGCATCACAATTTCACGTTGTTATTAGCGATACTATTGTGGGAATACTTATCAGATTATTTGCACCATCGGGAAATCTCGGTTATGATTATTTTTCTCTAATTTCTATGTGTGAAGTATATTATAACATATGAAATGTTCTTGAATTTCTCAGCTATGTTATATGTTATTTTACAAGTTTATCGCTTTCATTGATAAATTTACTTGTTAGGAAGTGTTCTTTGAGCAACCAGTCTGTTGAATGAGCCAAATTCAGCTGTACAATAGTGGTTCATAAGGTAGTCTTTTCACTTCAATGATCACTAGTGGTGATCGATTCCGTCTTACTAACATCGACACTATTGCACTGGAAGATCATCCTAAAGAATGTCTGCTCATTCATAACCACTGAGTGAGTGCTTCGAATAGACAAATGCAGTTGATCACTCCAAAGATACAATTCCGGTTCTTGCTGCACAAATCCAATATAAATTTGGAATTTGTGAAATGGAACAAATGACATTTTGTAGTAATCGCAGGTAGAGTTATTATTAGCATTAACATGCTAACATCTTTTTTTATTTAGCATTCACGGAGACTTTTCCTTTTAGAGAATTTTTTGGATGGCGAAAAGGATTGGGATAAAATAAAGGAGACAAAGAAGAGAAGTAAGATTGTCATCAATTATAACAGTGAGACGAATTATGGCTGCCATTTGAAAATGATAACAAAAAAATTTCAAAAGAACATTTTTCAAATACTTGAAATATGAATATCTTATCCATTTTTTCTTGACCACTGAAACTTTAATTTATTAGCATTTTCTTTACAAAATATATTTTGATAATACAGTGAGCAGGCAAAATTTCGAAAATAAGCAATAAAAAAAAAAAAAAAAAAATAAGCAATGTTTAATTCTACTAGTCAATGAAAATTTTCAAATCACTGGATTTAAACTAACCAAGAATTAAATTGCAATATAGAGATAAAAGCAAGTAAGGAATTGTGTTAAAACTTTCAAATGATTTTGTGATCTGAATTAGATTCACAAAAGTATTAAGCGCTTGAAGATTGCTCGTAGACTGTTCTTTTTTTACATATTTTTATTACAATTTACTAATTTATCTTTATTCAACCATTATTAACAGAAACAATAAAATTGTTATTCAAATTATCAATCCGTGATCAGTAGTTGGCTGATTTGCTGATTTATATTGGAGATGCTCATAGATCGCTGTCATTCACTATATAAAACACGTTTCAACAAGCGACACGGAAATAGAAAAAGAAATGAATCTTTGATCTTGAAGAATGGTGATATTTGCTGATGAAATAAAGAAGACAGTATCTAGAAGAGTAGCATTAAGGTTACTCTGGTAAGATCATCCGATATAACATTTATAAAATGCATGAAAAATTTTTAAATAAATCGATATAATAATTTTTGCTGCATAAGAAAGTTATTTAGTAAAGATAATATCTAATACATGTATATTGCCGTTTACACATACATGAATGCATCACTTTTGTCCTTCAAAATTTCTGTTGTTTCCCTTTCATTATCCAAGAAAAAAAAACTGATTAAGTAAATAATCTATCTTGCATATATAACACTCTCAACTACTTAAATACTTTTAAAGGACTTAAACATAAATTAACATATCAATAATCTTAGATGATATGATTTGATTAAGTGAAATGCCCTGTTTCAGAGTTTACAGAAATATTATCAGCGTCATTGCATTGCTGCAACCTTAATAACTCTTAAATCATTGTTATAATATAATTTCATGACTGAACGTTAAAATTTTCTTAATTTTTTAGCACTGGGCAGAATTTGAATGAAAAAAATAAAGAAATCAGTAATCTAAAAACAAAAAAAAAAAAAATATCATCATTACATGCAATATATCGGACATTCGTACAGAAGTTTTTTTATGATTTGTTGTAAACGATAATTATTTTTTACTTTACCTATCATCCAATTTGAAGTATTAAATTTTATTTCGCCAAAAAAATGTGGTATGGCTACTGTTTAAGTGACCAATGGTTCTTCCGTATAAGATTCAGTAATTAAAGTATAAAAAAGAAAAGGAAAAAATATCAGCATAAACAAAAAGAAAAAAAAAACACGAACTGCTCAATAAACTGGGGTTCTCATTTTTTCTTTTGAATAAAAAGCAAATTTTTCCTGCGGAAAAATTTTTTTCTCATTGCAACGGAATAATTTTTTTTAAGCTTCACTCTTTTTACAAACTTTATCTTCTGCAAGACTTTTCGTATAACAGTTTATCAAGTGTTTAATACAAGTCAGTTATGGCTAAAATTTAGTAAAAACTTGCAATTAGCACACTCTTTCATTACTTCTAATATGCCGGATTAAATAAAATTGTCCAAAATATCAAAAAGCTTTAATTTCTGATACAACCCATGGCAATTACAGTTAAAAATTGTCATGTCATTTGAGCTAATATAAAATGATTCCACTATTGATGCTAAATAATAAATATCTTATCTGGCAGTTTCGGGAAATGTTAAATTTTTTGGTGATTTTCGAGATTAATATGCGATTTATATCGCATATTGAACTGAGAATTGCTGAATAATGCAAAGTCTTTATTTTATTTTATTTGTTTATTTTTTCTTTGGAACTAACAACAGATATTATAATGATTCTATGTATGTGTATTAGTATTAACAAAATATTATGGTAACGAAACTACTCAACTCGATTTAAAATAATAAAGTCATTTGATGCTTTTATTTAGATGAAGAATTGATTTGATAGGATTCATTCGATCGGTTTGCTTCTAAATACTAATGCTGAGTGAAGGACATCTGAAATAGTTATGCAATAAATTGAAAAATTAATAGACTACTAAATAAATCAATATGATAACCATGTAGATAGAATACTGAAGTAAATCAAAAAAGGCATACCTGAGCAAGAAAATGAAGTTAAAAATGGGGAGAAGCAGAGGAATACAGAAGAACATCAATGATTCGGGATAAATCAAGCTGAAGCATGAGCTCTGCAACCAGTTTCCAGTCACAGCTATTAGATGCCATTGGTCACGCCTTGACCATCCGGATCCTTTTAAATGATTTAAATACACCTTTCCTTTACACTATTTCCTCGTCACATTTTGTATCGCAGTAATGGTTGTTAATTAGTACTTATTGCTATGCTGTTGTTACACAAATACAATTATATCTGCTTTTATCAGTTTAATGATATAAAATCTTATTGTCAGTTAAGCTTTTTCAGATTTGTCATATTGTTTACGTAATATTTATAATACTATGAGAAGAGAATAGCAATTGTAAAGATTTTAAAGTATAGAATTTTCAGACATCTCAAATTCATATATTTTGTGCTGTTATTAAGAACAATCTATGATGAGATATTTAAATATTTTGCTACCTCTCCTATTCAATTATGGAAAATTTCAGTACCATTTCGCTTCTGAAAAACCAACTTTTTTTGGTAAGTATCATATTGCTTACTTTCTTTGTTACAATTTGCGAACAGAAATAACCCATGAATGTCATATTTTTAAGTCAGATGTACTCATTTTGGAACTTGATAATGTAAATCGTTCGTTGCCTTCCTGATCAACTTTGGGACTTAAAATTGTTTTATCTTATATTTCAACCTATTCCACTTTAATATTTCCTCAATAAAATTCATGTAACCAAATTTATTGTGCAATAGGGATCGAGTACTTCATCAATGCAATAAATTTACTCGTTTTAAAAATATGATTTGCGATGTTTTTAAATTTTTATTATTTATTGAGATTTTTTTTTTATTTGCTAGAAAATTTTTATTATTTGCTATTTGACCACTATAAGGTCATAAAGTTCTCTGGGTGGAAAAAAAATTGCTTGCCATTACAATCGCGGTCCAAATTTATGCGTATTTGTTTGTTTTAGTACGGAAAAACTGGATAGTAAAGGCTCCGCAGTGAAAATGTTAAACAAAATTTAAATTTCTCAAATTGATAAGAAGAAAAAATCGACTACGACGAAAATATAAAATTTCCATGAAAAACGTGAATCAAATAGGGTAATTAGAAGAAAAAAGTTTGACAAATTAAAATATTCAAGCAAAACCAAATTATGATGTAAAATTAAAAACCATAGATGTGAAAAGCAACCAAATGCTAACGATAAAGATGAAGAGTTCATTATTTGTTATATGTGCAATAAACAGCTTCTGTCGAAATCATTTTGATTCTTTCTT